GTGTTACCAGAGCTACCAGACTGGTGTTACCAGAGCTACCAGACTGGTGTTACCACAGCTACCAGACTGGTGTTACCAGAGCTACCAGACTGGTGTTACCAGAGCTACCAGACTGGTGTTACCACAGCTACCAGACTGGTGTTACCAGAGCTACCAGACTGGTGTTACCAGAGCTACCAGACTGGTGTTACCACAGCTACCAGACTGGTGTTACCAGAGCTACCAGACTGGTGTTACCAGAGCTACCAGACTGGTGTTACCAGAGCTACCAGACTGGTGTTACCACAGCTACCAGACTGGTGTTACCAGAGCTACCAGACTGGTGTTACCACAGCTACCAGACTGGTGTTACCAGAGCTACCAGACTGGTGTTACCACAGCTACCAGACTGGTGTTACCACAACTACCAGACTTGTTGTTCCCTCCCCCCCCCACACACATCTTCACTCCTCCCACAATGTGAGTGGGTGCAGTGCACAACCACGATTCATCAAGCACTTACGAGGCCACTTACGACACTTGTACAGCTTTCCTCAATCACGATGGCTTAAGTTGACATTTAAGAGTATATATATGATCTGCGAGACGTTACGAGGTCGTGGCTGTACAAGAATGTAACAACTCTTGTATATATAAATACAAAACCAATAATTTTGGTGTTATCAGGATATCTTTATTGGTTTAGTTGTGAGTATAAATAATGTGATCTTTGATAAAGATCGATGTGATCTTGTTTGTTGTCAGAAGACCTTGTTGATGGTAACAGAATTCTCATTAAACTGCCGAACTCATATTGGATAAATTTAGATTTAGGAAAGACTTGGGGTAAATGCTGGTTCGGTAACAGGGTTGTTGATTTGTGGAACCAATTACCGCGTAACGCGGTGTAGGTGGAGTCCCTCGATTGTTCCAAGCGTGGGTTGGACATGTATATGAGTGGGATTGGGTGGTTATAGATAGGAGCTGCCTCATATGGGGCAATAGGCCTTCTGCAGTTGCCTTTTATTCTTATATCTGGTTAACAACAGCTGCGCCAATCCTCTCTGGCCTTCCACGTGTAGTTCCCGCCAAAATGAGGCGATGTTTGAGAGAGCCAATATGGCAGGTCCGCGTCCCTTCAGGAGAGCCAGCGTGCTCCATCACTACCAGCGACCACACCAGCCAGTCTCCAGCCTCATGATTGGCTGGCGTTTTCAATCTGTTATATTCGAGCTATTCAGACAATACAACGTGTATTGTCCGTACCTGATTGGCTGAGACGTCAGATGACGAGGACAGAGAAGTTCTGGATTATTTTTACAGCCGTGTAAAATAATGTAAATTTACTATTTTTACATTTTATTTAATCCTAGGGATAATATGTTGTTATTTGTAAATATAAAATAGTCAATATCCTAACCTAATAAGGTTATAGTAATGTTGTAATAAAGTTATATTAAGGTTATAATAAAGTATATTAAGGTTATAATAAGGTTATATAAGGTGGTATTAAGGTTATAATAAGGGTATAGTTAAGCTGTAATAAGATTATAGTAAGGTTGTAATAGGTGATATATGGCTACAGGAGCAGGAGGAGGAGGAGCAGGGGTGATCTTGCTGCAACAACAACAACAACAACAACAACAACAACAACAACAACAACAGAACTGACCACAGTTCCATGGTAGGCTTAACCTAAGCCTAAATATTACATAGTCTTCCCGGCGTGACGATTACTTATACTTAAATATGTTTCCTTGTATTTAATTACATACAAAATATAATACTTATCGACTGCCTCCAGTTATCGAGACTTAAAGGGTAACTTCATGTATATAACATGGTTGCCCCTCACAGAGCAAGCACTAGTTCACTCGTAACAACCAACCACTTGGGGTGGACGGTAGAGCGACGGTCTCGCTTCATGCAGGTCGGCGTTCAATCCCCGACCGTCCAAGTGATTGGGCACCATTCCTTTCCCCCCGTCCCATCCCAAATCCTTATCCTGACCCCTTCATAGTGCTATATAGTTGTAATGGCTTGGCGCTTCTCCTGATAGTTGCCTCACTTGGAGCCTTCAGAAACGGCTCCAAGAGAGCAGACTCAGCCCCCACCCCCCCTCAAGAAAGTAAGTAATTATCAAAAGAAGGCACCAATTAGCTGGGAAGGCTAAGTAGCATTAAATGAGCGCCCTAATAATCAGAGGGCGCTAAATATCACTAAGGATGCCAATAAGAGAACAGAGACGCATAAGGCGAACGATATCAAAAGTATCCGATTCACCAAGAATTCTATCGAGAGATAAGTGACCGCAAGGGACGGTCAGGAGGCAACACGCGTTAGCCCCTCCTCAAGCAGCCCCCAGGAGCGGGTCCAGATCAGACGCAGCCCTCCCCTCAAGCAGCCCCCAGGAGCGGGTCCAGGAGATCAGACGCAGCCCTCCCCTCAAGCAGCCCCCAGGAGCGGGTCCAGGAGATCAGACGCAGCCCTCCCCTCAAGCAGCCCCCAGGAGCGGGTCCAGGAGATCAGACGCAGCCCTCCCCTCAAACAGCCCCCAGGAGCGGGCCCAAGATCACCGTGTATTCATGACGACTCTGGAAAATAGCTTAATAAATTCTAGGGAAAAGCCAGAAGCGAGCGAGGACCAATTCGTGAAGCATCTTTAAGGCCAACTGAAGTGGCTGACTCAAGCTAAACATTCAGACCAGGTGAGGGCTGGCAGCCCCGGACACCTACACTAGGTGAGGGCTGGCGGCCCTGGACACCTACACCAGGTGAGGGCTAGATCAAAGTTCTTCAGTGTATTTATGTATTTTTCATTTTGAGCGTGAAGGGCGAGTTTATTGGGCAGCGTCATTCATCCTGTGAGTGAACAACCCGCCATTGCAGCATATACAACAACTATAAGAAAACCAACTGATTTGTTCATCCTGTCACTTATACCCGGCCACGGGTGGGATTTGCTTAACTGTCTCAAGTGAATAGTTCATCAAACAAGGATATTGACATTTACCAACCGCTAAACTTAGGTGATCTTGCTGATGCAAAGTGGAGGAATGTTTAAAGAAGATAATCTATATATGACGAACAGTGTATTGCCAACTCAAACAAGGTGGGATTGACTATTCTCCTCATGTCTCTAATGTATGTTAGGCAGGCACAGTGTCTCAAGGAGTGGTCAAGGTGGTGACCGTCTCTCGCGCCACACACTCTCCACCTCCGCTGCCCAACTGTTGTTTCCATCCAGAGTTTCCTGGGTATGTTACCTTCAAGGTATACCTTCAAGGTACCTTCAGGGTAAGGTAAGGTAAGTGTATGCAAGACGAATTCTTGGTATTACTGACCGTCTCCCGCGGCACCTCCCCGTCGTCCACAGTGACGGCTGGGGCTGTCGGCTGCAACTGTCTTGTACCAGTGAACACATTCTCTGATTTGTTGTGGTGTCCTTCTTTCCTCAGTTACCTTGTCACGGTGATGTTGGCTGATGATGCCTCTGACTTGTAGACGAGTCTTGGTCAGTTACCTTGTCACGGTGATGTTGGCTGATGATGCCTCTGACTTGTAGACGGGTCTTGGTCAGTTACCTTGTCACGGTGATGTTGGCTGATGATGCCTCTGACTTGTAGACGGGTCTTGGTCAGTTACCTTGTCACGGTGATGTTGGCTGATGATGCCTCTGACTTGTAGACGGGTCTTGGTCAGTTACCTTGTCACGGTGATGTTGGCTGATGATGCCTCTGACTTGTAGACGGGTCTTGGTCAGTTACCTTGTCACGGTGATGTTGGCTGATGATGCCTCTGACTTGTAGACGGGTCTTGGTCAGTTACCTTGTCACGGTGATGTTGGCTGATGATGCCTCTGACTTGTAGACGAGTCTTGGGTATGAAAAGATCAGTATGGTCTCCTTCAGCGCCCTCAGCAGCCAGCACGACAGCTAATTATTGCCACAGATTTCAACGTATGAGGAACTCCAGAGGAATCTGTTCATCCTTCCCTGTTTCCCTGAACCATTTTCACAGTTCTCTCGATAGGCTTCGATGTTCGTCGCAGTTTGTAATGTCGTGATTTCATTGTTCCCGGTTAGTGTATTATTAGAGCTGAATGACAAAGTTTCCTCTACGAGTGGTAGAGTAACGAGCGATGCAGGTCTAAGTGTCCATGCTTGTTTGAACTTGGATTAGGTTGTCATCTGAGTAAGAGACATTTTTTTTTACCAGTTCATTGTTTGTGAAAACAATGTCTACGATGTTGTGTGGTTGATTCTACTTGTTCTGGTTTAGGGTAAAGTTGTCAGTACCTTAAGAGGTCATTTGTGTGATTTCTCTTTGACAACTTCGTGTTATTATTTCTGTTACAAAGGTTTTTACCACTTTTCCACTTTAAATGCCGGAAATTTAAATTCAAATAGACGAGCAATCGACCACCTAAGCGGTGTTCGATTTTTATCAGCTGAATTTTAAAATGCTGGAGATTTGTACCTATTGAGTGACGTACAATAACACAAGCTTGCATTTCCAGATTAAGTGGCAATACTTGAAGCATATAACACACACTAGCAGGGACCGCAGTAACACGAGCAGCGCGGGAAGCCTTGACCAGCAGGTAATCCTATTATAGAGGAAGAAGACTGAGGTTATGGTAGTAGCACACTGGTCACTGGTCACTAGCACGCTGGTCACTGGTCACTAGCACGCTGGTCACTGGTCACTAGCACGCTGGTCACTGGTCACTAGCACACTGGTCACGCTGGAAAATACACGGAATAATTTTGACAAGAGCGAGGACGTAACGCGATAAAAGGACAAGTTGAATCTTCAGAGTCCCAGCTGTTGCTGGCGTCTGTCGGTGCCTTGGAGGTGCCCGGTGGTCTTGTGTGCAGTATTCCGGTCCTCCCTGGCGCCAGTGTTGGGAGTACATTATGTATGTGTTGCAGCACTCTGTATGCATTATGCGTGTTTCTGTTGCAGGTGTTGTTGGTGTGTAGAGAACAGCGGTAACAACACAGGTGTTTATATTGCAGGTATGCACGAGGTTGGACCAGCGGCTGCACGCGGCGGCTGTCAAGGGCGAGGTGGAGGAGGCGGTGCGGGTCCTGGACACGGGTCGAGTCCACGTCGACTGTGCTGACAGGGTCAGTTTGTCTTCCCACACCTGCATGTCCTGCAGAGTGTAGGCCCACACCTGCATGTCTTTCCAGTCTGTGGGCTCACCTACATATCCTTCCAGGGTCAAAGACTCTTCTACATCTCCTTACAGCGTCCATAAAGAAAAACACGAGTCTGTTTTCCCTTTCAGGTTGACAGAGTATATTAGAAAGAGGATACAAGTAGCGACCCTTGTGGCACCCCACAAGGGGTGCCACAAGACACTCCTGACCACTCGCTACTCTCACTTTTTTCACAGTAGCCTCAGCTTCCTATCTGAGAGGTATCGCTTACCCATCAATGCACTCCCCGATTACTCCAACATTCTTTAGGAGCCTGTATTACAGTATGGTGTGTGGGAATGTTGAACACTTGCTCCACCTACAGGATGGGTATGGGGGTCCACCCACAGGGCGGGTATGGGGTCCACCCACAGGGCGGGTATGGGGTCCACCCACAGGGCGGGTATGGGGTCCACCCACAGGGCGGGTATGGGGTCCACCCACAGGGTGGGTATGGGGTCCACCCACAGGGCGGGTATGGGGTCCACCCACAGGGCGGGTATAGGTTGCATAATACATGAACTAAACTAAAACAGAGGACATGTTATCATCAGCGGTCGGTAGTTGAAGTATTCCTGGCTTCCTCCTACTATAGTTACCGCTGTCATAGGATGTTATACATGTAGCAGTCTTGGAAGTGATATGTTGAAAATTGTATCAAGTGGCAAATACAAGGCTTCTGCCACCCTTTAAATATTTCGTATACCTTCAGCAATAATGCTTCACCCAGTGAGACTCAGCACCTGATCATTTATTGTTGTGTAGTAATGTGGGTTCCTCCTTAGCCTTGGCAGCTATGTGGTTCTCATGTTGTTTCTCTGCTACTCTTCTTATGCATGCATATCTTTCCTTGTTCTACTCCTCTCTCTATTGTGACCGGTCATAACCTTAGCTTACTTGTATTGCCTATTGAACCATGGACTTGTAAATGCTCACTTGTGCCTACACCGCTGCGCTCCTTAATTGCTTCCGTACCCCCCTTCACATTCTCTTCTTCTCTCTGGCTGCCTTTGTGTGTGTGTCACAGCCTTTCCTGTTCCCCTCTGGGGCCTGGCGCACCAGCAGGCAAGGTCAGGCGCGCTCACCACACTTCACCTGACACGTGCTCTCTCACACACTCTCTTCCCCTCTCACACTCTCCCCTCTCCCACACACTCTCCCCTCTCCCACACTCTCCCCTCTCCCACACTCTCTCCCCTCTCTCACTTCCGCCACCCCCCTAGAATAAGCAATGCTATTAATGAAGAATAAGTGATGTTTGGTATTGCAGAGTTTGCAGAGTATATAAAGTAAGGGTAATGAGAAAGGTGCGTATATGTGGCCTAATTAAACAATGAGGAGAGCGATGGGTGAAGGCTGTGTCTTGCAGGACGGGACGACGCCTCTCATCCTGGCGGCCGCCAACGGTCACGTGGCGCTGGTCAAGGAGCTCCTCGAGCAAGGTGCAGAGTCCAACGCTACCAGACACGTGAGTCACCACCTAGCCCTTTACACTACCAGACACGTGAGTCACCACCTGGCCCTTGACACTTGATCACTTGCTAACCCATCTTATTGACGATGACAAAGGCTCACATCAGTTACATGAGTTCGGATCTTCTCTTATTTCTTGTGTTCTTCCAGACTTGGGAAGATAATAATTCATTCTCCAAAGTTCATATTACTGTTTGGTCTGATGCTAACTGTGGACAGTAGTAGCCCTGATGGTAGTAGTCCTGACAGTAGTAGCCCTGATGGTAGCAGTCCTGACAGTAGTAGCCCTGATGGTAGCAGTCCTGACAGTAGTAGCCCTGATGGTAGCAGTCCTGACAGTAGTAGCCCTGATGGTAGCAGTCCTGACAGTAGTAGCCCTGATGGTGGCAGTCCTGACAGTAGTAGCCCTGATGGTAGATCATCAAGATACAATGTTCAATATTACGTTCATATGTTTTATATAATTTTATGGTAGACTTTTTCAATTATTACATTGTACAGTTTTATTATTACATAGATGTGACATGTGTAATGACCTATTTTTCAAAATATATATTCTGCAGCCACAGCTATTTTTTGTCTTCCTCTCAATGTACTACAATGAATATAGGTAGATAATTGCAGTTCACTAATTTTATGTCGGATAAAGAAGGGATATAGTTTCATCCAAACTTGAGTATTGTAACTTAAAAATATAATTTATGAATTGCAAATGTGTAGTAGATGAAGGAGTGTTCTCATGCACAGACTGGGACGGGTGCCCTGTTCTTTGCTGCGCAGGGTGGCTTCCTTGACATCGTTATACTGCTGCTGGAGCAAGGGTGCAAGATCAACCAAGCATCCAAGGTGAAGCAATACTTCCTTAACCATCTGAGGTAGTCTTTATACAAACATAAGAATAATTGCACAATGAAATCACAATAGTGTGATAATCTATGAGGAAATCTCTGGATCTGTGTGATGGAATCTAACCTGCATCCCAGGAAGCAAATTCGATTTCACTACATTCCTCTCAAGATTTTCTCATAAGGTTAACACTTCGACTGTGGGATTAATCTGGAGTATGTCATTCCATGTGAGCAAATTCTAAAATATGGGAAAAAAATACTTGTATGAGTTACTTCTTTACAAATTTAAGTTAAAATGTGAATTAAAAATATATTAAAAAATGCTACATAACCTACCATTGATGTACAGAATCTGAAATTAAATTTTAATATCGATCTCAAAACATGAAATTCAAACATGTTTGATATTCTTATCAATATGAAAATGCAATGTAAATTTAGGTAAATGAAGAAAAATACCAAATATAATTTCAAACAAAGTGTTTTAGTTTTGTATTCTTGTGTGTAATGATACTATAACTGCCAAAATTCATCTAATTGAATTTTTGTTATGTATATCAATGTTTTTCTTTTTCTCAATATTAGCTAGAGAAACTGTATGTCAGTTCGTTCTTTCCTTTTTTAGAGCTTTAGAAGAACTAAATTCTCTTGGTTTTCTACAGTACCAAACTTCAGTTGACATTAGTTGAAGTGTGGTCCTTTGTACCATTATACCTTAACTGACATTTGTCACAGCCAATGGGTTAAATATACTCAAAACCACATAACATTTATTGAGTTTTTCATAGTGCATACATTACATAATGTAACCTGAACACTTACATTTCAGTGAAACATTCACACTCACTGCAGCTTTTGTGTTCACTTAAAGATTTGCCAGAAGTGCTATGTTGTTAGTGGTTTTGCAAGAATGTACCATTTTAGATCACCAACATTTGTACCAACAACCCTTTATACCATCTTGTATATATAAACAAATAAAATTAATAAAATCAAGTCCAATATTTCAATGGAGCTTGATGAAAGACAACTTTCATTGTGCCCACAGCTTTGGCTTGATTTCACTGGTGGTCCTATGAAATATGTCATTTTGCTCAGGATGGAGGTACAGCATTGATTGTGGCAGCGCAGTGTGGTCATATGGATGTGGTGACGGAGTTGCTGCGCCGTGGAGCCGACCCTCACAGTGCTATGAAGGACAAAGCCACTGCTGTGTTCGTTGCTGCACAGAATGGTCATACTAGTGTAGTGAGGACGCTGCTAGCTGCAGGTGCTAAGGTCAGTTATCCAACCTGTCTTCCTACAAAGAATGTTGCTTTTCGCTCATATGCGTTACAATTGTCGTACTAGAATATAGAAGCAGCTCGTGAAAGTGACGTACTGTCCCGTTTTCTGTTTTGGGGCCTCTGGTAGGTTAGGAGAGACCACTTTAAATTAACCGTTTTCTTGACATTGGGAAACCTTAGGAGAATGGGCTGAGTTACAGTATCTACTTAAACTGCTTAACAGCTTAATGAAAGGAAGTGTAATGTAATTTAAATATTCATCTAATAAATTTTGAGTAACATCGTCATGCATTTTAATTGTTTCATACAGAATTAAAGCAATTAAATTAAATAGATCATTAAATTTTATTTTTATAATCCCTTTGTTTTAGTGGTTATCTTGAGGTTATCTTGAGATGATTTCGGGGCTTATAGCGTCCCTGCGGCCCGGTCCTCGACCAGGCCTCCTCTTTGTTACACACCCCCCAGGAAGCAGCCCGTAGCAGCTGTCTAACTCTCAGGTACCTATTTACTGCTAGGTAACAGGGGCATCAGGGTGAAAGAAACATTTTACCCACTTGTCTCTGCCTCCACCGGGGATCGAACCCGGAACCTCAGGACTACGAATCAGAAGCGCTGTCCACCCAGCTGTCAGGCACCCAATTTTATTTTATTATATTGGCATAATTTTATTGTACAGTGTATGGTGAATTTTGTAAGTAGAGTACTGTACTGTAGATGTATTATACCACAGTGAAATAAAATTATTATAATTATTTAGTTTAATTGTGGTATATGAAGCGATTCATCTTGCATAATGAAGAAAATGATGAAGTGTAACAAAGTAACTATTTAATGATGTATCTGACATAAAATATAAAGTAATTGTGTTTAAAAGGTAATATGTCAATATAAAAAGAAGACTCTGTAATACATCATTTTGTATCTTAAACTCAAATGTTTTATATGAATGTTTTATAACAAAATATATATCTCCACTCCCTATTGAAAAGAAAAGACATCAAGGACAATTTATGCTACCTAAGTTCTTTGAGTTACAGAAGGTATAACTTTGCAAGTCTTCCCCAGGCCAACGTGAGGCGCGTGGATGGTGCCAGTCCACTGTGGATTGCTTCACAGATGGGCCACCAGGGGGTTGTCCGGCTCCTGCTCGGCCATGGTGTCAACCCTGATGTCACCAGACATGTGAGTAAAAGCACCTGTGGTGGCTTATTGGTTAGATGCATCAGGAAATCCATTGTGATATTGATATAGGTTGTTCAGTATGGTACAGGGTATTTTAAAGGTTCGACTTGATTATGGCCTATAGTTTTATTTTATTATTATTTTTCTGTCAAATTTCTTAAAAAAAATTGTTTATACTTTCTTACAATGTATTTTTATACTTTCTTCAATGTACCTATAAACATTTTTTTTTAATTTTGCTAGAAATTACCTTTTTAAAATTATATGTTAGATTAAGGATCTGCCCGAAATGCTATGCATGCTAGTGGCTTTGCAAGAATGTCAAACTTCAAGTCTCTGTACTCTCATAAACCCAATCTACCTTCTTGTAAATAAATAAATAAATAAATAGTTTACTGCTGAACTTTTCTGCCTTTCTTAAAAATGGAGGTGAAATTTGTGCACACTCCCTGAAATGCTATGTTAGTGGATTTACAAGAATGGAAAACCATCAATCCTATGTACTCTCATAAACCCAATATACCTTCTTGTATACTGTATATAAATAAATAAATAAATAAATGAATAAATAAATATATCCAATCGATGCACTCTCCTTTTGTCTACAGAAGGAACTTCAGTGATAGGCCCAGTTCATTAGTCAGTTGCTTTATGATTTTGACTTGAATTCCACCTACACTTGGAGCTTTGGATTTCTTTAGTTCGTCAATGCCCTTCCTGATTATTCTACATGTAATGAGGATATCCTTCAACTTGTTATTTTCTCCTACTTCAAACATCTGTACTGTAATTACCTAAGTGTAATTATGGAATGAGAGCTACACTTGTGGTGTCCTGTCTTCTCGGCACTCTGTCATATGAAACTACTGATTTTGGGATGTTGTCTAATCTCTCTAGTGTGAACACTGATATAAGTATTCAGAGTATTGGGTGCCTTTTTTACCATCAGTTATAACTTGGTGTAATCTCTCAAGGGTCCTACGGCATCTTTTGTCCTGGTTTTGCTCCTTACATAAGCATAAAACTTAGTCTGTCATGGCTGAGACCAGATGTACAGATGGCTTTGTACCCTTTTTAATTTTGGATCATGTGTACCATGCTCTGCAGTGTGTATAATTAATACCATGTTTTTAGTGTTTATAATTGATGCTGTATTTTGCAGGATGGGGCAACGCCACTATTCAAAGCAGCCCACAAGGGTCACGTAGAAGTTGTACATGAGATTCTTCCCTTCAAGCCTTGTCTAGGACTTCTTAAGGTGCGTAATACGTGTTTTCCCTGCATCTTCATAAAGTTACAGTCTTTTGCATTATCTTATACTGTATTATTAACTGGTAAATCAGGCATAGAGAGTATGCCAGTCATTAAAGCCAAAGAACAGTGATTAAGCTTACCTGAGGGCCACCCACACTAGTGACCTTGATGATGCAACTTTGTCGTGTTCTTTAAAAATAAGGTCTTCCGACATGATTACTCCTAAATCTTTTACATTGATTTTTCTTTCAATGGTATGGTTTTATATGTGGTTTCTGCTTTGATGTTTTAATTTTTTCCATAGCACAGTACATAATTGAAACTTGTCTTTAATAACTGTGGCCCATTGAAGGACTTGATTAACATCTGATTGGAAGTTTGCTGTGTCCTCTATGTTGTCTACTCTCATGAAAATTCTAGTGTCATTAGCAAAGGATGATGAAAAGTACTGGAGCAAGCACGGTACCTTGGGGAACCGAGCTTTTCATGGTGGACAATTCACATTTTACTGTGTTGACTATTACACTCTGGGTTCTGTTTGTTAGGAAGTTAAGGATCTATATCCCTACTTTGCCAATAATTCCTTTTGTGCTTATTTTGTGTGTAATAACACCTTGGTCACAATAGTCCAAGGCTTTTGCAAAATCTGTATACACAGTATTACATCAGTGTTTTGTGTTCCATGGCATCTAAGGCCATGTTATAGTGGTCTAGCAATTGTGAGAGGCAGGATTACCCTGTTCTGAACCCATGTTGCTCAGGATTATGTAGACACTGATTCCATGTGTTTTGTGATCTTACTTCTTAGCACTGTCAAAGATTTTTGGTGTAAATCTTTTCATAAAATACAGTGGTACCTTAGTTTACGATTTTAATATGTTCTAAGAGACGGATTGTACACCAAAAAATTGTAAACCAAAGCGAATTTTCCCATAAGAAATAATGTAAATTGAATTAATTCGTTCCACACACACAAACAAAAATATTAACTTAAAAATACATTTTATATAGAATACTACTCTTAATATATCTTACCTGTACCAAATTTTTAATATACCTTACCTTTATTGAGGATTCTTGTTGGTGTATGGAAGATGGTGAGGAGGGGAGAGGGAGGGGGGGAGAGATGTTAGTGTTTGGAAGGAGAGTTCACTTCCATTGTAACATCAGACAGTGATGACATTTCTGGGGTACTCTCCTACGTTTTGCAGGCATACCACTAGGATCTGGTTGTAGCTCACTGCTTGCTTGTCTTACTAAGAATCTCTCTAAAGACACTGTTTTTTCCCTATGTTTTAACACTGTAGTGAGACATCACATTCATTCGCTATGAGTGATCATTTGTTTTTCCTCTATCGTCATCCTCAGATCTATTTTCTTACGTTGAACTTTACCACTGACTTTCTTGGGACTCATGTTCAGAAACCAAAAAACCAGAAAACGATGGAAGTCTTTACAAAGAATTCAAACGCAGTTGTCACTAGGCAGGATACACTGGTAAACTAAGTGCCTCGCTCGTGCCCAGCAGCACCACGTGCTCACTTGACCCATACAGGTATCAACAGACGAATCGTATTCCAAGGCAAACTTCATACACCAATTCAAATTTTACGAGGCATTTGATGTCGTATACCAAAAAAATGGTATTCTAGGGCAGTCGTAAATCAAGGTACCACTGTACACAAATACAATATGCAGCGGTTGTATGGTGCCCATATCTAAAGAAGCACATCAACAAACTGGAAAAGGTGCAAAGACATGCCACTAAGTGGCTCCCAGAACTGAAGGATAAGAGCTATGAGGAGAGGTTAGAGGCATTAAATATGCCAAAACTAGAAGACAAACAAAAAAGAGGTGATATGATCACTACGTACAAAATAGTAACAGGAATTGATAAAATTGATATGGAAGATTTCCTGAGACCTGGTTAAAAAATTACAGTATTATAATTATTACTGTATTATTGTTATTATTATTATTATTATTATTATTATTATTATTATTATTATTATTATTATTATTATTATTATTATTATTATCATTCCCACTATCAATGGGTGGAAAGGCATGAGGCCAAAGAAAAAAATAAGTAATACTGAAATTTACCTCACTCTACCTGAGGGCCACCATCTGATAATGTGTACAGTATGTGTGTATATATATCTGGATGCTAAAGCATTCATTGCTCCCAATGCAGTGATGTAATAAGCATATAAAAATTAAACAGATATTTCTAATCTGGCATTATAATAAAAATCTAATAATAATGTATATTAATGCTTTGAATAAAGGTTTCATACATTTTCCACATATGCAGAATGGAGAGTCGGCATTGCATGCAGCAGCCTTATATGGCCATCTCCAGGTGCTGCGAGTGCTGGTGCAAGCAGGTGCTGATCCAGGCCTTAAAAATGATCAAGGACTAACGCCAATCCAAATTGCTGCTCAGGCTCGTCACTATGAAGCCGTCCAGCTACTAAAGGAAGCACTGACCAAGAGAAAAGAGATGGGGCAGATTACGCCAAAGACTTCACCAGGGCCACGCTCCCCTCGCTTAGTGCAAAGTATGTCTGGTAATGTGGTTAGTTCAGGGGTGCAGAGCCAAAGTAGCAGTCGAGGCTCATCCAGGAACAGTTCCTTGGGCACAATAGTGGAAACTAGCCCAGTGTTGCCCCGCTCTGTTAGCTCACCTAGTAATTCGAAACCTGCTCAATATGTATCATGTGAGCTGAGTAACATGGTAGATGGTGGAGCACGTCCCAGAGCAACTCTGGCCACTGGATCCTGCACATCAGTCAGTGGACGGACCCCTTCTTCCTCCAACCCTTCACCCTCTCCAAGCATCTCGAGTGAACCGCCGCAGTCTATGATAGCCGCTTTGCAGAAGGCACCCCGTCATGCATCTCATTCAGATGTTAGCAGTGTAAAAAATATTTTCCGTAGAACACTTGCATCATTTAGGCGATCTAGTATAGTGAAAAGAAATGACAAGCCGCCCGAACCATGACAAGCTTCTACATGCTCTTGGTTTCCCTTTGTTTACTTGGTTGCTTTCAAAACTGTACGACATTTTCAGTACAAATGCCTAATAAGTCACTGGTGATACTAGAATAGGAATACTAATACCAAGGTGTACTCCATGTGAAATAAATACAGTATACAGGAGATTAATACATATAGGAAGAAGGAATAAAGAGTTCCTGAAGCTTAGTGAAAATGGTCCAGTAACATGAATGCTATTGATATTGTCAAGTTTCCAATACAATACTACCAAACATCAAGAGGAGGAAGGGGATCACAGACTCTCTTCAGTCTGACTTAGTAATGTTTAGTGTAGCATATTTTATGATGAACTATGCAAGGTAATTCATATCACTTCCAACTAGACAATTTAGTCTCCTAATTTCACCTCAACAGTTATAGTTATTGGGTTCATTTAGAATTTTTACCAGTTCCTTAGTCTACAGAGATAACTGTACCCTCCTCCACAACATTGCAACTAATGGTGTGGATGCCCTGGTCATGTTCTTAGAAATACCAGCATTCTGTGGCAACTTCCTTAAAGGTCATAACCAAAGATGAAAGTCATCATTGTGATGATACTTAATTAATAAAACATACTTTTTGTGTTTTCTTTAAAAATTTATTTAACTTTTTCTCGCTGTTAGTACTAACTACCTGACGATGAATGGTAGAAGGTCCATGAGATTATTCGTGAACTAAGTCAGAAATGATGTCCTACTAGATAAAGAGAAGTAAGCATGTAATGCTTTACATGCATAGTGTTGAGGTATTGATAGAAGTTAGCTATTGTTTAGAGGTACAGAACAGGTGTTCATACCATACAGGGGTTGGGTCCAAAAGCAAGTGGATAACTGACTTTTGTGGATCCTCTACATATGTCTCTGGAATAATTTATTTATTGAACCTAATGGTGGTTTTTGGGCCTTTAAAATTACAGTATATGATTCTAGAAGTAAGAAGTGCTACTGCCCGCCAAACACACACCGAAACTACGACGTTGGTACAACGTTCGAACAAGTTTTAACACCTCCTAACCAGTTATAACAACCAATATAACAAGTTGTAACACCGTTCTAATACGTCATAAACACGTTAAGCCAAGATGTAACAACTTTATTACAAGTTGTAACAAGCGGAACATAGAGACACTATAGGTTTGTGTTTGCAGGGTGGTGAGCTATTGAAGTGCACGAATGCACTCTTATCTGTGGGCTGGAATTTAGTATGCCGAGCACTTGTTACGCTTATGTTCTTTGTACATACATTCTTTTGAATACAAAATATTATATTATTGTTATTATTATTGTTATTATTATTGTTATTATTATTATTATTATTATTATTATTATTATTATTATTACTGTATTATTACTGTATCCACACAATATGAATGTTGGTTGTAATCACAATTTGTGGATACGAGGGGGGTATGTGGATACAATTTGTGTGAATTTTTTTTTTTGATATATACAAGAGTTCTTACATTTTTGTACAGCCACTAGTACGCTTAGCGTTTCTGGCAAGTCCTTAATCCTATGTTCCCCTGGAATACGACCCCTGTGAAGAATAGCTTAACAACCAGGTACCCATTTTACTGATGAGTTAAACAGAGGCTACAGTTAAGGATCCCAGTAAATCCTCCCCGGCCAGGATACGAACCCAGGACAAAGCGCTCGCGGAACGCCAGGTGAGCGTCTTAACCACTACACCACTGAGGCTGCAGATATGGTATATCATATAATATGGTATATATGGTATGGTATATAATATGGTATAAATGCCTGTATATATTAAGACAGGGAATAATGATCTAAGGAAATGCTATAGATCCTGGTTGAAAAATAATTGGACAATAATTTATAGTAATTAATGATAAACTAATTTGAATTATTTTAATTTGATATCTGCTGGGTCTGTAAGGTGCTGTACCAGTTACAATAATAATTTATGGGAATTATTTATCTAATATTTCTATATGTACCAATATTGTGAATACAACCTCGATATGGTAAGGAGTGTTCTTGCATTAGAGAAGTTGCTAATATAGGCATCAGTTGCTACACAGATTCAGGGACTTCATGTGAGCAGTATGGCTGAAGATATTAGCATGTTTGTTTTGATTAACCTGCACCTAAAACTTTTCAAAACATGTTTTGAAAAAACAAAATTAACAACAAAATGTTGTTTTGAAAATGAAGATACACATGTATGGTATCTACATTACTTACATTGGAAAATACCAAGTGAGATTTATGTTGTTTCCGCTTTCACATAAATGAGGGGAACACATCTGCACTTGGTGTCTTGCAACTGATGCCTGGTTACTGAAATGCTGGGTCTTTCCTCCATGTTGTAGCTACCTTTGTAGCATAAACTTCTCAACAAAAATACAAGTACAGTATACTTTATTAGAGTAAGCAAGTTGAGTGGAGATAAAAAGTTACAATATAGATTATTATATCCATTGTAAGGTAATTGCCCATAATGACGTCCAATTCAGATAGATATGACAAACTTTTGTTTTAGTATATTCCATAAGTCACAGTGAATGTTCACCTTTCTTCTGTTAATTTACCCGATTTACCTGAGTGCCACTAACCCTGGTGGCCTCGATGAGGACAGAAAGCCGGCGGCTTGTCGAAGCCCCCCCCCCTTTGCTTTGTTGATCTTTTCCAGGTATATTTTAAAACACAACACAGTTTTGGCAGTTACGGCTTTGGTGGGTAGGCGGTTCCATGGGTGAAAAACCCTATGGGTGAAAAAGCATCTCCTGTTCTCAGTTCTACATTAATATCCAACATGACATTTGATGCATCACGTTATTGTGATTTCTGTGTGTAATATCCAACATGCAACAACAATTAATAAATTATTGATGGAAAGATGTACTTTACAACTATTCATGATGCTTTACATCATGAATAGTTTATGAACCTGTCTGATAGTCCCAAAAAGAGCAAATTCGAGTTGCAAACGTAAGTACTGTATTTGCATGTTTTTCTCTTTGACTCAGCCTGTAGATGATTAATTGCAGGATGAGTAGCAAACTCATATTGAGACCGTCGCCCATCACAAGCAATGACTGGCCTCCTCTTTGTCCTGCCCACAACAGAGTCCACGAGACCGCTAGTATCTGTGTCCAACCGCCTGGTTCCAATAATATTTCATACACAGTTGTATCCTCAAATAATTAATTTGTATGTCTTTTTAAAGTTCCAGACTGTTTTTCAATATATAACACTGTTGTTTCTATATATTTTCCAGCAACTTTATATACAGTACTTTTTAACCATGTATTTTCTTTGCTGTTTACACTGTTTTGGGGATGACACTTTCCTGCTATGACAACTCTCTGCACATGTGCAGAACTGACTATTGTACTACACAGAAATCACAATAGCGTGATGCATCAAATAAACAAATCCACAAGGGCCGTGACGAGGGTTCGAATCTACGTCCGAGAGCATCCCAGACGTAGCTTCGAACCCTCGTCACGGCCCTTGTGGATTTGTTCATTTGACTACTGTACTGGCAGGGATTCCAAATGCAAGAATTCAACAAGAGTTCCAGACTGTTTTTCAACATTGAACACTGGTGTTTCTCTGTCTTTCTACTGAGTTATGCCCTTCACAAGGGGTCTCTCTCTCACTCTATTGGTGGGGGCTGGGAGCATTAGGTAGGTACCCCTCGTGCCCTGCTAGTAGGCTACTAAGAATATCAGTTTTTTTTTTTTTTTTATTAGGACTCCCAAGACCACCTCATATCCTGTGATATTCTTCTTTTGCTGATGTTGTATGTTTTAACAATCACTTATTTTTGTATTTAAAGTAGATGTATGTATGCAAACAAGTACATTGAGTTGAAACTAAATTTAATAATGACTGAAAACTTTAAAGCAAAACAATATTTAAAACATACTGTAGTTTGAAATGAGTTATGATTACTTTGTATGGACTAGGTAGTTATTTCAGAATATATTAAATCTTATTATTTTTATAATATATACAGTACAGTACTTATTGACATATTAGACATATTGTTCAGGATATTATCTAATCTCTAAATTTGTGCAAGGGATGCATTCCTTGGAAACATTATGTAAATTGAATTTGCACAAATCAAACTAATTTGGCCAAAACAAAATGCAGTCCAGAGACCTCCAAAAAGCTAAGTTACTATTCCACTCGTATCTCACAAAACAAACAATACTAATATATTCCCACCACAAATACTTTTACTTGCCATACTGTAATATTGTAATGAATCTATGATAATATAATAATGATAAATTTGGCATCTTTGTAAACAAGGAAGTGCAAGTGTGGTGTTATCTGCAATGTTTTTGTTGTTCATGTCTTGAAACATTTATCTGCTAGACTGACAGGTCATGATAATCATATAAATATACTGTACAGTTGACCCCCTTCCAAACACAACTTAGTGCACTGAAAAGCCATGTCCTGCAGAAGGATTCCATCTATTCTGTTTGCATCATCATTAAAACAATATTTAGTTGTAGCAAAAAATAGCAGATAACTTTTGGTGTAGCTGTGCATTCCTTACACTGGATATCAATGCCCAAAAATTTTAAATCAAATTGAAATATTTCAAAATATAATTTTATAAGTGATTTTGGTATCAAAATGTGCAAAAAATATGCTTTATTGCTTCTTACAATAAATGCATTGTTTTGTATACAATAACAAACTTTTGTATTCAACTGAAATTTAGTTGCTGCTGAAGGGGTCTGGTAAAGATCTGTTCATTTGAGCAGCATACACTGTACTCCAAGGTAGATACATAAATACATATGCAGACGACACAAAACTTGATCTTCTGCTAACAAGTAGTTTGCTTTTTTATTATATTTTTTTGACACTGTAAACCTCGTGTATCTTCTGTTGAAAAATAATTTCCATTACAATATTTGTATACTTTTACAAATATCATATTAAGTGGTCATGCCAATTGGAGAATATCGAGCAACCTCGCGCGGTGCTAATAGAAGAGCATGAATTGTGTGAATTGCACTTTATCCATGCCAAGGTAACTAAGGGTTCTCTGTATTG